GACCCGGGCTTTTACAGCACTGGCGCTTGTTCCTCTGGGAAGGGGGGGGGGGAGCGGAAGACTCCTAGCTTCCCCTCCCCGCTTCCTCTGGGCCCGCCCATGACAGCAAACTCAGAAGGACCAGGGAAGTATTAACGGAAGAAGCATTCGGAAACGCTGAAAACAATGTCCAGTGAGATCCACCAGCAAATTTCCTCACCGATCCTCCACCAGCTAATTCCCAGCAATTTTTTTCCCAGTAAAGGAGAAGCGAACAGAAAACGAGCAGCCCTAGGAGATCAGTGCAGAGAGACCAGAGAAGAGGATGAAAACGTACCAAAAAAAGGATCTAAAAGTGGACAGTGCAGGAGGGGCACATGCCCGTACACGCAGACCCAACCGGTGCGATAACACAATCCCGGGGCATGGCGAGGGACCGCGAACAGGGACAGTCAAGAGGGCTGCAAGGAGGTCTCGTTTCTTCACGAAGCCTAGCAAAACGAGACTCTGGCTGGAAATTCGGCCGAATAAAATGCTCTTCTTTTTATAGGTTTAGGCGAAACAATTACAGTACGGGATCCCTCGTTTCGGTGAGGTTCTGGGGTGCCGGAGGTACAAACTGATCCAAAGCTTTCACTTAGCATCTAGTTTCTTGCTTAGCATCATAAACCCATCATACTTTCAAGCAAGTTCTCAGCTCCTTTCCAGTCAATACCACAATCTGTGCCTCTCAGTTACGATTCCCCGTGACCTGAACCTGCACCCCAACCCTCCTCCCCCCTCCGCTCTTGAGCCGGGGTCGTGTATTATGTTCTGCTTCTCACTAGGCGCGATTTGAATCAGCGCCAGATTGGCAGTGTGCCAAGTATGCACTAATTTGATTTATGATGTGAAAGTGGTTGAATTGAGAGAGTGGTTGGTGCGCATTGTTTGCTTGGGCAGGTGACCGGTGCGGTGTAGTGCGAGTGTTTCGGCGGAGGCGCATGGTTCGAAATGGACAGTCCTTCGGTACGCGAGTAGTTTTCTTGTTTAAACCAATGAGCTATGGACGGGGGGGGGGGTTGAGGTTTCGCCGGTACTTTTTTCGATAGCAGCTACTGATTTTGTTCGTATTCGGGCAGTACTACCAATTCTGATCGAAATTCCCACTTTCGCATTCCTGTTGTAGGGGGAGTACTGGTGCGTCCCGATTTTGCCTTCCTCCATAGATGTCTTGAGTTGCATCCACGATTTGCTGCTTCCTGCACGCTTTCATCACGAAATCTCTCTGTTTATCCCTGTGGCTGCAAGCTGTTTCGCCGTTGGCGCAAGAGGCAAAATCCTGATAGCCGGAAGCAACTCATCTCCGGGAGCAGGGGAGGTGTTTTTTTTTTCGGGGAGTCTATCGTATTTTGCTTTCCTCTTTCTACGAATACACAGAGAGAGTACGCGTGTACAGTTTTGCTCGATGAAACTTGGCCAAGCACGCTGGCCGCGCGTATTATATCACGTCACAGCACGTAAAACTTCACCCCAAAACTGGATTTATTACCGCAGCATTTTAGGCGTGCTTATTGTAGTGCAAACATATTTCGGCGCACAATCTGAGAAGGGAAGCAGTGCTAGAGGTATTTCTTAGGTACGGCATCGGTGAAGCAAGAGTGATTGGTACTTCCTGTCAGTGATAGTTTGCTCTGAAAAAAAAAAAAAAAAAAAACTGGAATTGGATGAATTTGAGCCGTACGAAATGCAGCAAGAATGAATAGCGCATTTTGCGAGCCAGAACAAATATTGTTGTGAACGTTGAAAAAAACCTAAAGTACAATACGTGACAAGTGATTGTAAGGGGCTCAGAGCGATTGATGCAGAGATTATGAATATAGCTGGAGCAGACGTGCACTGCCAGGATCAGCAATGCTTTTTTGAGAAGCAAATTCATTGAGAGTAAAACGAATGGTGTTTGTCCAATCTGGGTGGCTGATTCCAAGAATTTCTGTATTTGCAGGATTACTGTTAAAAAAAAAAAAAAAAAAGCATGAAACGGATAAAATCTGAAAAGTTGAACAATTTTTCTCTTTACCGGCATATCAAATGAAAGCTCATGCAGAGCGTCGAAGATTATACCTATCTAGGGAAGATACTGCCGGTTCAAAAGAAATAAAACTTGAAGATATGCAGCCGAGAACACCTGTTGTGCCATTAAACAACGATGACTGCTAGCGCACTAAGGAGGAATGTCGGAAAAACGTTTTGAACAGGCGCAGGGGAAATGTGTGCAAAATTCTATGCTAGTCTATCAGTGCCACTGGTTAACATTATAGCACATCGGATTCACGTCCTTGAGCCACAGATCCTTTCTGTACTCTTATCAGTGAAGTCAGTTACTCGGCCTTCTAAATGGAGTTGCTTCCGCCACTGACAAATTGATCATCGTGCTTAGTCAGAGCGCTTGAATTTTGAAGACTGTCGCTGCCCAATCTGATAGGCATAGTGGTGCACACAATCAAGTCTGATCTGCGGCGGCGGATCTGCAACGGGAATCGGAATGCTGTTAGGAATCTCCGGTTCTGGAAGGATGCTGTTACGAAAAGACGTGGACCTTTTGATACGCACTTACAGTTGTAAATCGCTGCCAAGGAACACACTCATGGCCCATCTTCCTCACTATCTCGATGAAACATTATGCTACGTTTTCGCTGTACCTGAAACACAGCGAAGGTCCAAGGACATCCTAATCTGAAAGGAAACAAAAACGATCTCCACATTGGATAAAGACAAAAAAAAATGGTAGAGTTGGATCTATCGCAACAGGAAATTGGTATCTATCTTTTGTTTCTGGCCCGGACTTTAAGCTGAAGTTTTTTTTTTCTCGTACGTGTGGACTTGACAGCTAATGTGGATTCCAGCTCAGCAAAGAATTTTTTCAACTCAACGTTATCGCTGGCCGTGGTGGGGACTTAGACTTGAATGATTTTGAGGGCTTCATGAGAACCTGACTTGAAGAGGACCAGATGCAGGAAGGCGCAAGAGAGCACCAATTTCCTCCTTGTTTCCTAATCTGCTGGTTGCCGCAAATTTCACAACACTATCGATATTCTTGAAATATCAAACTGGAAAGACCGTGCCCACCTTTCATTGCGAAGGTCTTGAGGGCAGTGGCAAATGGATGCGAAACTTGGTCAGTGACGGAAGCTGAAGAGCAAGCGATGGCTGTGACGGAACGTTGGAGCGAATGATGTTTAACGTATCTCTCTATGGCCATATGAACGATCGGAATTTTCAACAGATGAGCGTCATGCGGGATATCATTGAAAGCACGCGAGAAAGTAAAATTTGATGGACAGACGTGCTGCTCGTTTTGCTGAGAACAGATGGACGTCGCGTATTAGCGAATGATGCCTACGAGAAAGTAACGATCACTTGACCAGTTCCCGGGGAGCTTTCTCATATACACCAAACAGGCGGTTGGTACTAACTGGAGGTAGACAGCCTAGGAAAGAAAGGCTTGGCGCAGATATGCTTGGTGGGAGTATCTCGCTCACATCACTAGGGTAAGATTCCCCACACTGATTGTCCCACAGTCTTGCTATGCTACGCTTATCACTCTGACTAGAAACACTAGCCCAAAAGATAAACCTCATCTCCTTCAAAACTACTTGGAAGCTTTCCTAAATTCGAAAAAAAGCTGGTCATTGTTCACAGCTTTTTGGCCGGTTTTGGGCCATTTTTTGGCTTTTTCAAAATACGGGACTGTTCTTTGAGAGCTTGATGTTGCACTGATGCTTATAAAGGTATGA